AGACACCTGTCTTTCAAACCAAGACAAAGTGGGAAAAAGGCACTGAGGTTATGATCTTCCTAAGATAGAAGATCACAAACTCCATCATCTGAGGAGCTTCACAGCAGCAGGCAGCTTTACAGCTTCCCTGAGCACATACCTTGGATTGCCACACAAGCCTGTAAGGGTTGGAGTAGTTCAGCTTCTCCATGACTCTCTGGACAGTAGCTCCCACTTCCTGAGGATACGGATCACCACGGTTCACCACCTTCAACACAGAAACACCAGACCTTTTTCTTCCAGTCAACGTGTTTGGGCAAAGAGCACTCAAAGACTGGGCAAGGTGAGCACGCTGCGTGTGACGCAGCTGTGCCCCTGATGGCTGTATCAAGTGCCTGGCTCATCCAAAACAGGGAGGAAAAACTGCATTCTTGCCCAGCAAAACCCATGATGAAGCTGCTTTACCAGAACATCTACTACTCCTCCTTCCCATGATGAAAGATAAATTCTTTTCTCATCATAGGCAGATAAGGTTACCTTCCGTAACAGCACTGCATTTTCGACAAACTTCCCGAGAGCCACTTCACTGCAGCTGCCGGTTGCTGACAGAGCATCAAGTCACTTACTGCAGCCCTGCAAAGGTTTTACTTTCATTCTTTCAGGGGAAGCGTTATTACTGCTTTCTGGAGGTGAGAAAGTACCAAATTTTCCCCTCCGTTACCAGCCAGTTTTGAGCTGCCAAGATCATGAGGCCATGAAAGCAGCCAGACCGAGTCTGGCCTAACCCAGCACGCCATCCTCCCTGGTGGCCAACGGCGCAGAGCTGAGCCAGCCTGCAGGAGAGTAACTGTGGCTCACGTGCCTCACCTTCAGCTCTGCATCAGGCTTCTACCTGCAACGCACTAACCCACCTTCGTACTTCTCTTTTGGATCTGCCCGGCACTTCCAGAACTGTGGCCCTACCCCGCAGCTTTGTGAGCCGCATACCCTCCATTCAGGCCAGGCAGTGTGACTGCTCTAACAATGACAGGAACGACCCGCCCGAACTCACAGACATGGGCAGCGAGTGAGCCGAGAAGAGGATGACCACATCTTTCCTTTTGTCTGGTGGAAACAGGTTCAATTCCTTCTGTATGTGATCGGTGAAGCACTGCCCAGGAAAGAAAAAAAAGCAGAGACCTGAATCAGAAACACTTGAGAGGCATTACATGCTCTCAGATGAGCTCAGACAGGCAGCTTCGATGTTCCAGGTGGCCTTAAAAACTTTGAAATTCCCCTTTTGGTATGTGTGGGGAATAGCAAGGGGCAGCACGTATGACATACTGTCACGTATACAGCATCGCACAGCGCCCAGTCCCAACACACCAAAGGCCCCCATGAACTTTACATCATCCCAGTGGTTTTAAGATGCTGGTAACAAACT